TAACCACGCAGACTGGTAAACTTACGATCTTCCGCCTCATCAGGGGCCTCAAGGTGACTATATAATCCTGTCTCACCCATGGATGTGCCCTTCACAGCAAATGACCCAAACTTTCACCACCCTTCTGGTTCTAGTTGCCACGATTCGATTCTGACTCATGGCGACCCCATGTGTCAGAGTAGAACTGTGCTCCGTAGCGTTTTTAATGGCTGATTTTTCGGAACTAGATCACCAAGCCTTTCTTCTGAGGTGCCTCCAGGTGGACTCAACCCTCCGCCCTTTCACTTAGCAGCCAAGTGCATTAACCATCTGTACCATCCAGGGAGTCCTCACCACTCTCAGCCTCTCGTTATCCCCCCGCCCCTTGGTCTCTATAGCTGACCTCACCTCCCACCACGGGAACAATGAGACACAACCTGCCCAACCGCAGGCTGCCCATTCTCAGGAGGGTGAGGTATCCCCTCCCTTCTGTTCAAGGACGAAACTCCACTTTGGTGTCCTCATCCTTGCCCCGCTGGCCTCCTCCAGGGCCTTGCTCTATTTTCCCTTTTGTCTACACCTTCTAGTTTTTCCTCTTGGCCTACAAACCTACTTAAGTCTCCCAGACATGAAAAAAAAAAAATTCAGTGATCCACCACCTTTTCCTTTTTAGCCAAACCTCTTAACATACCTTACACATACTCTATCTCCAATATTCTGATTCATTTCTCAACCCACTGAAGTTCTCTACACTGCTCTTGCAAAATTCACCATGACCTCTATACTGTCTAATCCATAAAGACTCCTAGTCCTCTGTCTCTGACGTGCTGACACAGAGGCCACTTAGGCCTTTCCTTGAGAGGGGACCCAGGGCAGTGGCATTTTACACAAAAGGCAAAATTCTGATGACCCTGAGACAGATTCAACCAAAGGTACTTCTGTTTACCAGCTGCAGTGGCCCTGCCCCATGGTGTTAACATAAAAATAATCACAACCCACTCTACCTACCAGCTCTGAAATTACACCTTTCTTAGAGAATTTTTAATTGGGAGGGAGGAGGGGGAACTCCCATCATTTCAAATTTTGTACAAAAAGGCTATTACTATGTTTATACTGCAGTATTTGAAGTCTGCATAGTATACAAATGAACTACCCCAGTACAGCTACTCTGACTCCAGGCTGATTGTCCAAATTCTTCAAGACAGAGATTCTCTGAGATCCTCTGTAGTGTCCTTCCCTTCTAGCTCTACCTCTTACACTCGGACGCTCGCCAGAACTCTGTTCTCGGTCATCCCTTCTCTTTCTCCCTCCATGTTCTGAACGAGCAATCCCATCCTCTCAGGGTTTTAATTACCACCTATGTATTGATTTCCACATCTTTATCTCCAGCCCTAACCTCTCTGCCCTATTCTTCAGACATGTGCATCCAAGTGTCTTCCAGACATAACCACACACACATCTCAAAGAGAGCTGAAATTCAACATACCCAAAACCAAACTCATTATCCTTTCTCCGCTCCCCAACCTACTCTTCCTCCTGTATTTTCTATCTCCATTTATGGCCCCTCATCTGCCTAGTCACTCAAGCCAGGCCCCAGGAGTTACCCCCAGCATCCATCTAAAGGTCTCTGCCTCACCCTCCAGAGCCAATCCTAAGTCTAATGAATTTTACCCCCTGGAATATTCCTTTGATCTCCTCCTCTCCACCCTTCTCCTGACCACCTCAGCTTAAGCTCTCATCATCTGTGGACTGAACTAATTCAATAGTCTCCTAACTCGTTACCCTGTCTCTCGTCTTTCCCTCCTACTAAAGCCCAGGCTCCATACCTCAATGAATAACCTCGCTAATACAGATCTGACCACATCACACCACTGCTTTGAACCCTTCAGGGGCTCTCCACTGCGCACCTAATCCTCACCATGACAGCCCTCCAAAACCTCATTCCTGTCTCACCTCTCTGTCTTCATTTCCCAAGAGTCCCTATACCTTGTACTGTAAGCTCTGCTGTTGTTAGGTGCTGTCAGGTCGATCCCGACATGTAACAACCCCACACGGCAGAGCGGAGCTGCCCCATAGGGTTTTCTAGGCTGTTCCCTTTACAGGAGCAGATTGCCAGTTTGTTCTTCCGTGGAGCCGTTAGGTGCATTCAAACCACCAACCTTTCGGTTAGCAGCCAAGCGCTTTACCATTGTGCCACCAGGGCTCCTTCTCTAAGCTCTAGAACTCCTTCTGTTAACAGTTCTGGCACATGTTGTGCTATTTTACGCTGCCGTGTCTTTGCTCCTGCTGTTCCTTCTGCCTGGACAGTTCATCACACTCACTCACTCCCCGTTTCGGTGTTCCTTGACGGATGGTCTACACCACAGAGCCTTCCCTGAACCACCAGCACAGTGGGTCAGGTGCATACCATCCCTACTCTGTGCGCACCAGCCTTAACACTCGCCATGTTATGTTGAAATTAGCCATTTATATGTTTACTCCCCTTTAGTTTTGTGCATCTCAGCTCCCCAGACATCACCTGCCACAATAATCAGGGCTCCAAAAAATGTTTGCGGAGCTGAAATAACAGCCTAATATTCAAAATGACTCATCATGAACCCTGAAATTATGAAGACACAAAGACAAAAGATCTCATCAACTTCACATCTGTATGCGCTGCTACTGGAATACTTGACAAGTTATGATTTCCCTTTAAATAGATTTCTAAAAAAATTTTCCAAATAAAGACCATTTTCACCTACCTTACATTTAAGGGTACAAAAAGGAGCCAAATCTAAGATTTCCGGAAATTTTATAAGTTTGTTAACTTTGCGCAGGTTAAAACCAGCCTGAAAAGAAAGGGATAAGAGATTTGAGTTCTGAAAAAGCTACACACAGTAAGCCAACAGTAGCTCCTCTCCACTGCCCTAAAGAATGCCAACGCTCAGCCCCGGTTCAGTCTTCTTAGAGACCCTTCTTCCTAACCACTAACTGATGCTGAGCTGGTCTGCTTTTGTAAGTGCATGCACTCACAGCCCGCAACCAGTGAGAAAGCTGCTCCCGTGGAAGCAGCCTGAGCCACCCAGAGAAGGCAGGTCAGACCAGACATCTGGAGTGTCTGAAGCTCAGCAATTAGCAGGACCACCTTCCTGGGAAGCCCACAGTCTCAGTCTCATTCTCTACCCAAGTTTAGGGAATGGTTAGACAGACCCAACAAGCCAAGCCCATACCAACCACAGGTGGAAAAACATTCTGAAGACGCTGGAACTTGGAACTGAAGTTGAAAGTTGTACTGTTTATAGCAAAACCTTTCCAGAAAAGAGGGGCTCATCAAAATAATGAAACTGCTATGTCTTTTATCAAGAGTCATTAAAAATAAGATACCACACGTAGAACAGTAAGAAAAACATCACTAGAGTACCTAAGAGGATAACGAACAGTTCACTGTCATATTTTCCACAGTTTAAGATACAGCTAGTATACTGATCTTTTCTTTTAACCTGAAAGTAACATTTAAATAAAATGCTAACATTACCAAAAAGAGCAACATGAGCTCTAGTAAAACCGAGTAGGGATTGTGCCTAAATTGCTCCTCCACCTTGACGTGTATCTTCATCAAACACTTTCTTACTCATATTTATTTTTCATTTTCCTACTTCCTTGCTGTTAACATTAAGAAATAACAGAAAACCAAAGAAATATGTAATATACAGAGATGATAACAAATAACATGTTACATATTATTATTGCCTGAACTGTGTCCCTCTAAAATATGGGTTGGGATCCTAACAGCCTGTGGGGTACACCCCGTTTGGAAACGGTTTTCTCGGTTATAGTAATGAGGCCGTATCAACGCAGGGTGTGTCCTAAACCTAATCACTTCTGACTCATAAAGAGCACATTAGACACGGGTGAGCAGACACGGGGGAAGACAGACGCCACGTGAGGAGAGCCAAGAACCAAGGCCAGGAGCTACTGACAGCTGAGGCCCTGATTTGGGCTGTTAGCCTCCAGAGCTAAGAGAAAATTAGTTTCTGCTCTTTAAAGCCACCTTCCTGTGGTATTTCTGTTACAGCAGCACCAGCAAATGAAGACACATATTTAAAACAGACTTTGAGTAACAGACAAATGAGGGGTACCTGCTGAAACCTCTTTAAGTGAAGAGTGAGAACAGGAGGGGCAAGAGAAATGAGCATCTGCTTTTTGGCACTGGTGTAAACGTGCTTCCTTTCACCTAAAGAAACAAAGACATTCAGTGGGGTGAAAACCTGGTTGAGACCTCTGAAACGTGAGACATGCGGTAAAGCCACTGCAGACCTCCAAATCAAGGACCAGCAAGCTTCTTCTGGAAAGGGCCAGATAATCCAAAAGAGAAGCTTTTCCACAAATTTTTACTGATGAAATTCCAAACAGAGTAACTGAATATAATTTCTGTAATAGAGGCTTACTAACTAGCAAGAAGAGTGGGATTCTTTTGGGGGGATGTTTCACTTAATTGAGGTTCAGAGGCAGTGCTCCCTCTCATCAAATCAACTGCAAATGCCCACGTATAAAAACCATCTTTAACTCGCAGATGGCACAGTAACAGGCAGCATGCTGGACCTGGCCTGTGGTTTGCGGACCCCTGCTCTAAAGCAGACAGAACTGCTTTAAAAGCAACACAACTTACTTTCTGCATCTACTTGTAAATAAACAAAAAGCTAGACTGAAAACTCTGCAACAATTCTAGCTGAGTCCTTAGGAATCTGTGCCCCCTCCCCACAATCCCACGACCCAAACCCAAACAAAGGTGGGGGAAGGCTGTTAAGTTTAGGTTTCTGTTCCATACTGGAGGGAGACTCTAAGAAAGCACTGTCCTCCCAGTACCTCACACAGGACATGTCACATCAGCACACTGATGCATTAGTGTGGCTTCCCGGGGACCAGGGAGACAAGGGCATCACGAACGCTAACAGAACTGCCAATACCGAGGCAGGCACCGTCCGCCAGGAGGCCGTGTGGGAGCACCCAATGGGGTGATTTACCCACAGGGAGGGGTGTGCAGCAAACGACTCCACTTTAACTGCTGCTGAGAGGCCGTAAAGCACTAGCCGCTTCAACAAAGCTCTGCTTCGTCCATCCTTCTATCAAATATCTACACAGCAGAGGGCATTAGTTGATGCCATCCAACCGGGATACACTCATGCAGTGCAAGATGTGCTCGGCATGCTGATTTTACTTAGAGTGAGAGAATCTAAGTACCTTTTATATTTGCCTTTGGTCCGTTACACTGTCTCCGTGAGCACACTTCACAAAGCAGTTTATTCGCATCTCGAAGGTTCTCATTACGGGTGAACTGATATAAACAGTGCTCGACTGAACACTCATAGGTATGGAAAGCGTCCCTATCGGCAAGAGTACAGAAAGCAGTTTCTGGATCTTCATTTACAACCTCATAGATCTTTGTCCCTGCAGTATGACTGTTGTTCAGAATCTCTGTATTTATTTCCTCGGGTTGAAGAGCAGCATTCAAGTTAAGGTTTTTAAAACCACTGGAGATGTCCACGTCTCCATCACTCCCTTCTTTCAGGTAGATGCCATTTAAATCCTCAGGGCACTCAGTGGGGGAAGACACCAAATCCTCCCGATCATTCTCCACGTGGACATTCCCCACGTGGACATTCCCCACGTCCACTTCCTCTGTGGATTTCCGATTGTCAGTTTCATTTTCTAGCACTTTTTCTCGGCCATTCAAGTCTTTCTGATTGACACAGTTCTCTTTATCAATAACGTCCGCTGGTGAGATATGGTTGGATTTAACATCCACTTCCCCCTGGAGTAACACTTCAGCATCATGCTCATTATCCTCGGGATCGTCCATGGTACAAATATCACTTAAAAGGAGAACTTTCCCTTGGATTTTCTGTTGCCTTCGTTGGTTCTGTTTTTAAAACAGAGAGCAAGAGAGCATGCATGTGAACGCGTGCACCACTTCAGGTTTTGTTGCTTATTAATCAATCAAAAAATAAATAACTGAGTAAGGGAGAGTCTACTCTCAGAATTTTTATCTTAAAAAAGTTCCTTTACTATTACAAACCAATAAATTATGGAGGAAAATTCTTTAATTGGAAGCAAAAAACCATGATCAACCATTTAACATTGTCACACGGGGGCAGATAAGCGGACACAAGACATGGCCTCTGCTGTAAGAGACCCACATCTAGGCCGAGTACTAAGACTGGAAAACGAAGCAACCAAGTATTAAACCCCATGGTGTCTCTGACCACACATACGACAGGAAGAGATCAATCAATGTGAGGTGTACTGACTGGGTCGAGGTTTTACTAAGGAGATAAAAAATGAACTGAAAATTCCAGGGTGTACACGTATGGGACTGGTTTGGACAGAGGCATGGAGAGACAACACTGCAGGAAACCAGTGACCGAAGGAAGGTTAAGGAAGGAGGCGAGGAGGCCACGTGGACAGAGAACGGTAAAGGATGGGGCCCCCTAAAACTGCCTTGTCATTTGCAGCCTAATTCCAAGTAGGACCTGAAAGACATTGCATCAAGATTTCTGTTGCCTGAACGCCTGAAGACCCAGAGGGGTTCACATTTGTGGTTGCAACTGAAAAGACAGTCCCTGTGAGGCTAATGTGTAACACCAGAAGACTGAAGGGAGCCTGTGGGACACAAACAGCTGCTGCTGTGTTTCAGTTAACAACAGAGTAGCACACAAGGGGACCATGGGGAAAGGGTACGAGTGAACACGTCACGGAAAAGGAAATACACGTGGCTTTCAAACAGAAAACATGCTCAACTTCACTTATAAAATAAATAAATGCAAAATGAAACTATATGGAGATATTTTCCATGTATCAGATTGGCAAAAATCCAGAAGTTTGATAACACACTACTCTCAAGTACAGAGAGAAAAAGACTGTCTCATGTATTTCTGGTGGGAATACAAATTGGTACCACCTCCGTGCAGGACAATTTGGTAATAGCTGTCAAAATTACAAATACAAACCCTCTTCTCGGAATTTACCCTACAGACGACATATGAACAGGGTAACTCACTGCTGGCAGAATTGGCTATTACAGAAAAAGACCGGAAACCACTAACATCAACAGAGAAATGATGAGACGAATTAAGGCAGATCTAGCAAATGGAAGAGGCCCATGGGTGGCACAAGTGGTTCACAATCAGCTGCTAACCTAAAGGTTGGCAGTTCAAACCCACCCAGCGGGACCACAGAAGAAAGGCCTGGTGATCTGCTTCCATGAAGATTACAGCCAAGAAAACCCTATAGAGCAGTTCTACTTGGTTTTTTAACACATGGGGTCATCATGAATTAGAACTGACTAGATAGCAACGTTTGGGTTTTTTCTTTTTTTTTTTCCTTTTTGGTTTATAAAATGGAACAGTATGCAGCTGTTAAAAAACAAAAGGAACAAAGCTCTGTATCCCGATATAGAAAGATCTCCAAGTAACTAATTAACTAAAATAAAAGCCAAGATCCACAACAGCCTGTACAGTAAAAAAAGGCGGGAAGCAAGACTCTTTATTTGTATTTGCCAACACATGCCAAAAGAGGCTCCAGAAAAATAGGTAAGAAACTACTGAAAGTGGTTACCTATGGCAAGGAATACTGGACAAGATAAAAGGACAAGCTGGGAGGGTGGCTTATCGTACACCTGATTATATCTCTGGAGCCCTGGCAGCACAGTGGCTTAAAAGCTCAGCTGCTAACCAAAAGGTCAGCAGTTCAAATCCACCAGCCTCTCCTTGGACACCCTACGGGGCAGCTCTACTCTGTCCTAGTGGGTGGCTATCAGTCAGAATGAAATCGACAGCAACAGGTTTGGTTTTGGGTTTTTTATTACATCTTTAAACTTATGAATGTCAATGTAGTGATGATTCAAAAAATTAGGTTAAAGATGAACTAAAACTTTTTAGAAACAGTTGTCAGAAGTAATACAGGATTCTAAAAGAGCACAGATTTTTCTTCACCTCTACTGAAAAGTCTGCCTCTGCAGGGAGTAAGGACTAAAGGAGCGGATTCTGAAACGGACAGAAAATGAAACACTGGCTCGCATGTCACACAGACCACACGCACTGCTCCAGGGCGCAAGACCGGGAACACGGGGACGGCGCGGCGGCCACCCACCGTGGCGGCCACCCACCGTGGCGGCCACCCACCGGGGCGGCCACCCACCGGGGCAGTCACCCACCTTGGCCTGCTTTCTGGCCTGCTTCTTGGCTTTTTTCTCCAAGTGTTTACTGGTGCCCGAAGAAACGTCCTTCCTCTCCTTCATGTAACTGTCATTGTCTTTTTCTTCCTCGCTGTCTTTATCTTCACTCTCCATTGTCTTTTTTAGATTTTTATCATTTATACTTTTCTTGCCACTCTTAAAATATGAAGAGAGTATGAGTCAAAAATAAATTTTCACAAATGCTGTTAAGTGGAAGGGAATTCAGGTTACCCGGATATTTTTCTACTCCTAGTTTACACTATGAGCCGGAATCCACTCGACAGCAATGGGTTTGGTTTGGTTTGATTTTACACTAGACCAATTTTCTACAACATCTGAAAATATGTCCAGGACAAAGTACATTCACCTCCTATACCAGAAAGCGATCTTCACATTGTAAGAAAACAAGCAAACGAAACAAAGGCAACATCACACGCAAATGTAACGGGAAGGAATCTCGTGACTTTTCCCGCCTACGTGCCTGCTTCACAGTGAACACACATCCATTTCTAAACGCACTTCCTGTCTATCAGTGATTCACACGTCACAGCAGGGCCTTCTCTGTCCTTTCTCTGCACACGGTCTCAGAAAGAGAAAACAGAGCAAGTTTCCAGAGACTTTAATCTTGCCAGGACGAGAGACCCCTTGAGATGAAGCTGAATGATGATTTATCCAAATAAAGTCATGTGTTCTCTTTTTCACTACTTTTATTCGAAATGAACCAATTAATATGCCTTAAAAACGAGATACTCTCTACTTGCCATTTATGGACTCAGGACCGTAACGGAGTTGCGGTCAGCCTTAAATAATAAGTAGCTAAATTTTAATGTGAGGAAAATACTTCCCAATATTTAAAACAATAAAGGTAATTAAAGAATTCTAGGCACACCAACCTCTTTTAAAGAGAAAAAAAAAAAAAGTGTTTACCCCATTCTCAAATCTTAAAAATTATTCTATCTCAGACAGATTAAGAAAAATTTCTCCAAGGGCTAGTAATGCACAAACTTGGAGAAGGTAACATGGCTTTCCCCCATAAAATCTAACAGAGGAAAAACAATCTACTTCAGTAAAATCCACTCAGTAGTCTTACCTGGTCATCTAAAACGGGGAGAGACAAGTCAAGGAAAGACTCGTGAACCAAGGAGACCTTAACCAACCAAAAAAGAAAACGTAAAAGGAAGGAAAAGATTCACTTTAAACATTATTCAGTAAGATCTTCCCATCCTGAGTTTTAAAATAAAGGCTGAAGAAAATGAAATTTAAAAATTACACAAATGCCAAGAGCATTGGATTAGAGTGTTGAATTAAATTCTTCAAGACTTAAAAAGCGTTAATATTCCCAGCAAAGAATCATGCATATTTGGAGAGCTCAACAAAGAGTATCTCACGATGTTAGATGTTTCTGTTTCTCAAAGAAAAAGCCGATAAACTGCTCTGTTAATATTAATAAATGACTGCAGCCATACCCACACCTACTCACAGTTCGGCATTCGTCACACATGATCGTACTCGTCAGTTCACCACCAAAGATGCGGTCCACAAAGCTGGGTACTGACCTTTTCTTTTCGTAATCTATGAAGGAAAAAGCGTTCTCAACTACCCTTGTATAACTGACTGAATAAAATAAGTTAAAACTACTTACTTACCTAACTTATTTTTAGTTTCTATCTTACACTTTTTAACTCTCTCCATAATTATCAGTTTTATTTTTACGTGACAGGCAGTCAACAGCATATACTCTACCTTAAAGCATAATGATATTCTATAACACATCACCTTTCATTAGTAAGAAAACAAAGTTCTTATCCAAGATCTACCTGTTGCTGACTCATAGCAACCCTATAGGACAGAGCAGAACTGTTCCACAGGGTTTCCAAAGAGCAGCTGGTGGATTCAAACTGCCAACCTTTTGGTTAGTGGCCAGGCACTTAACCACTATGCCATATCAAGGCTCCATCCAAGATCTAGTCAGTGGAAAATAAACTGTTCAAGTCAGTGGAACCTCCTACATATCAACATCTCCAGTAGTAAAATGAGCATATCAGACTAGGCTAGCTGACATCCTAGCTTCTTTCTGGCGCTGACATCCTCCATTCAATAAAAAAAAAAAAAAAGCATGGTAGCAAACTTGGAGAGAATGCATACAACTTGCTTTGTGAACACTAAGACTGAACTCCTTTTTTATTTAAAAAAAACTTCTAGGAAAATGTTTCAGACGAAATCTTCCTTTTTAGTTTTCCCATTTCCCTGAAAAGAGTACTGATGAGTACCTGGATACCTAATTTCCTAATTACACGAAACCAGGTGTTCATGTATGCAGACACGTATTTTCAGGACAGACAGCGTAATGATTCTGTTACTGGACAGGTCCTAAAGGGGACCAAGAAGAAAGGGTGGCTGGCTCTGTGTTGATTCTAATCTGTGCTATGTAATACAGTAATCGTTAATCATGTAAGGCCACTTAAATTTAAATTAATTAAAATTCAATAAAAATTTACTCCCTCAGTTGCATTTGCCATATTTCAAGTGCTCAACAGGTACTTGTGGCTAGTGGCTACTGGGCTAGACAGCAAGATAAAGAACATTTCCATTGTCACAAAAAGTTCTACTGGACAAAATCCTAAATCTTTAGATGTCCAATAACAATAAGAACTAAGAAGAACTAAGGTGGCTCCATGATTAATAACCCAGCCACTGCCATACTTTATACTCATAAAGGAAAATATAGTTCTCTCATCACTAATTATAATCCTAAGCTTTTGAAAAATAAAATTGGAATGTCATTTTAGCTCTATCTTTATAAATTTCATTGTAACACTGCATAAAAAGACTACACCACAAGTTAGGTTTTTCTACAGTATTCACCTTTGGAGGACTGAATGATTAAAAAAACGATGAGGATAAAGAGAAGTTATGTGGTAATAATCGTGGATTTGAAATACACTGCCAGCGATTGTGACCTAAAATACAGAGGACTTCAACTATAGTGTTTTAGTTCAGAAAGTCAGACATTACCTTTAACTTTATTTTTTAGTTCTTCATCCAATTTTTCGGTAGAATTACCAAATGCTTTAAGAATTCCTTTACTCACTCTCTAAAAATAATAAAATGGATATATATACTATTAAATTTTATAGTAATTTTCCTTAGAAAAGACATAATCAAGACAAAAAAGTGACCAAATGTAGCTCCACAGACTTACTGAAATAAAAATTAATAGTTTCGAAATCACATTTTCAAAATTACTTCAAAGAGATGAAAAGAATTTTGCTTATACTAAATGGGCACACCAGCTTAGGGGCAAGGACGAGAAGGCAGTAGGGGACAGGAAAGCTGGTAACAGGGAACACAGGGTCAGGAAGGGGAGTGTTGGCATGTCACAGGGCTGGCAACCAGTGTCACAAAACAGTATGTGTATTAATTGTTCAATGAGAAACTAATTTGCTCTGCAAAACCTTCATCTAAAGTACAATAAAAAAAAAAATGTGCTTATAAAACAATCACTAACCACTGAATAAAGGCACTGTCTTAATTTCAAGTTCTTAACCTATCCAAACCAAAGCTTTTTAGAACACGCCCACCTCCTCTGGAAAGACCACTGAAATACTCCATGCTAAGAGCAGAGTGGTTAAGTGGGAGCTCCAGGAACAGACTCTTAAAGCTCAAAGCTCGGCTGATCACCAGTGGGCATCCTTGGACCAGGGACTGAACCCGTCTGCGTCCTAGCTTCAGAATCTAAGAAACAGGATGATAATAACAGCATCTGCTTCGCAGAGTGGCTGTCAGGACTGAGTAAGGCAACTCACACAGAACACTGAGCACAGTGCTTGACATGACGTCAGGGGAAAATAAATGATGATTACTGTCACCATTACTATTACTGTTATTAATATATTTACATGCCCAAACACATTATATCTAGGCAGTTAACAAAAATTTTAAATTGTAAGAAATATTCCCTGACTCTTACAAAACGGTAACACTTCCTAGAGTCAAAACTTCTCAGTGGCACCCAGGAGGGTGTGCTGAACGGGAAGTTGTCTGGGAAGCGACGTTTTCCAGCACGCACAGCTGTCCACGCAGAGGCTAGCAGAACAGAACCCTGACGGAACAACAACGCTGCAAACATCAATGATCCAGAGCACCGCAGAAAGGAGCCGCACTGCTCTCCGACTCATTTTTATGATTAACACATACTGGCAGGCGTGGCCAGTGTATAAAAATGTTAAGAAGTGTAACGGCCCTAATCACTAGCCTCCACTGCTTTAACAACCCTCAAAACATCAAACCACAGACAAGTCAATGAAGATGCGATATAAAATACCAAGGCGGTAATATGCTCACTTGGTGTTCTTCTGCTCTCATCCCATCCAGTAAGTAGCGAAGGAGCTCCTGGCTGTCTTGCTGCTGATAGCCTTTAAACCGCACTGCTCTATGGGTAAAAAAAAGAAAAATTGTGAGTCTACGAAGACGTGAAGCTATGCGTGCACAAGCTCAGGCCTGAATCTCAAATCTCACAGTGTCTCTACTTTCTCAAAATTTCTGTTCAGTCCAATAAAAACCTTGGCAGACTTAATTTTCGTTTAAAATATATATTTTTAATCCAAGTGAAATAAACCATGCTTTAATATATACGAGGATAAGTCAAAAAGTATTGTTACAAAATCACAGAAACCTTTATTAAACAAAAACATCAAAATGTGAAGCTACTATTTCTTGACATACCCTCCACCTAGGTCTACACACTTCTAAAGGCGGTGTTTCCATCTTTCTAATCCTTCCCCAAAGAATTCTACGCTCTTTGATCTACATGTCAAAACAGCAGTTTTGGCATCCTCCAGGGACTTAAATTGTGTTCCTTTTAAATGTTTGTTGAGTCTAGGGAACAAAAAGAAGCCTGAAGGGGCAAGATCAGGGCTGTAGGGTGGATGGGGTAAGCTTTCCCAGCAACATTCTCCTAGGACAGCCCTTGCTACCCTTGAGGAACGAGCCGGTCCATCGTCGTGATGGAAAAAAAGATCCTCGGCGCAACTTTCCTGGCCGCCTTCTCACCAGTGCAGTTTTCAATTTTCTTAAAATTTCTCCACGATAAGCTCCTGCGATCATCCTGTGAACAGGAACCCTAGCAGCAGTACTTTCTGACTTAGCCTTGTATACTCGGTGGGCTCTAATGCAATGAACTGTTTCTGTTTCTCAGCATCTTAGTGATGCACTAAAAGCACAACCGAAGTGGATACTCACTTTTTACAGACCTGAGAAAAGAGTTCTTTCGGTGTCACGACGCCCTTTTTGGTCTCCTGCATCTCAGTAAGAAACTGGCTCATGGCCAAGGTAAGAGGGCCCGGAGGCTCCAGGGTTATTTCTAAGGGTTCCTGAATATGAGAATAAAATTACTTTCTTCAGTCACATTGTGGGATAATTTACTTTACCAAAATGTAATTAGTTACCACATACTGTCAATATTGCTCATAGAGCTGCCCCGTTTCAAAGTTTCAAACGTGCATCACAAGATAAAGAAACTTTCTGCTCCTACCAAAACCTAAGCCCCTTGCCATCAGGTCCACGCCAACTCAGAGCGACCCCAGAGGACAGAGGAGAACTGCCCCACAGGGTTTCCAAGGCTGTAATCTTTATGGAAGCAGACTGCCACATCTTTCTCCTGCAGAACGGCTGGTGGGTTCAAACTGCCGACCTTTTGGTGAGCAGCTGAGTGCTTAACCACTGCACCACCACAGCCCCTTTTCTGGCCCTAGACTGTCCTATAAAGAATTTAGTCCTACTATTGGCACAGTCTGCACTTGACTACCAACATAAAGGTCGGTGTCTTGCACCCTGCAAAAGAAATGCATGGTGATCCGCTCCGATAATGATTACAACCAAGAAAACCCTATGGAGCAGTTCTCCGAAACACACAGCGTCATCATGAGTCAGAACGTACTCAACGACAATGGATTTTGGGGTTTTTTGGTTTTTTTTATTTTAGTTTTAGATTATCAAGAACTTACTGCCATATAAGAAGAGAAAAGACAAAGAAAAATGTAAATGATGAAAACAAATAAGGTAAACCTCATTTGGCAACATAGCAATCACCTTAAAAGAAGTTAAAAATATAACGCAAGCCTGTTGTTACTAGGTGCCGTCGAGTTGGTTCCAACTCATGGCAAGTCTACGGCAAAAGAAAAAGACACTGCCCAGTCCTGCACCATCCTCACAATCCTTGTTATGCTTGAGCACATTGTTGCAGGCACTGTGTCAATCCATCTTGTTGAGGGTATTCCTTTTTTTCCCTGACCCTCTACTTTACCAAGCATGATGTCTCTCTCCAGGGACTGGTCCCTCCTGATAACATGTTCAAAGTACATGAAACAAGATCTCACCATTCTCACTTCTAAGGAGCATTCTGGCTGTACTTCTAAGACAGATTTGTTCAATCTTCTGGCAGACCATGGTATATTCAATATTCTTCACCAACATCATAAGCTAAAGGCATCAATTCTTCTTCAGTCTTCCTTATTCCCTGTCCACCTCCCGCATGCATGTGAGGTGACTGAAAATACCATGGCTTGGGTCAGGTGCACCTTAGTACTCAAGATGACATGTTCAATTTTTAACACTTCAAAAAGGTCTTTTGCAGCAGATTTACCCAATGCAATACATCATTTGATTTCTTGACTGCTGCTTCCACGGGCACTGATTGTGGATTCAAGTAAAACGGAATCCTTGACAACATCAGTATTTTCTCCATTTATCATGATGTTGTTTATTAGTCCAGTTGTGAGGATTTTTGTTTCTTTATGTTGAGGTGTAATCCATACCAAAGCCTGCATCAGTAAGTGCTTCCAGCCCTCTTCACTTCCAGCAAGCAAGGTCATGTCACCTGTATATCACGCACTGTTAACGAGCCTTCCCCCAATCCTGATGCTGAGTTACTCTTCACAGTCCAGCTTCTCAGATCATTTGCTCAGCATACAGAGAGACTGAACAAGTACACTGAAAAGATGCAATCCTGATGCACACCTTTCCTGATTTTAATCCCCTTGTTCTGTTTGAATGACTACCTCTTGGGCTATGTACAGGTTCCATATGAGCAAAATTAAGTGTTCCAGAATTCCCAGTCTTCATGATGCTATCCACAATTTGTTATGATCCACACAGTCGAATGCCTTTGCACAGTCAATAAAACTCAGGTAAACACTTTTCTGGTATTCTCTGCTTTCAGCCAAGACCCATCTAAGATTAGCAATGATATCCCTCATTCCCTGCTCTCTTCTGAATCTGGCTTCAATTTCTGGCAGTTCCTTGTCGAGATATTGCTGTAACCGTTTTTTAATGATCTTCAGCAAAATCTTGCTGGCATGTGATACTAATGATATCATTCAATAATTTCTGCATTCTGTTGAATCACCTTTCTTTGGAATGGGCACAAACATGGATCTCTTCCAGTTGGGTGGCCAGGTAGCTGTCTTCCAAATTTCTTGGCATAGACGAGTGAGCGCTTTCAGCACCGCCTGTTTGAAGAAACATTTCAATTGTATTTCATCAATTCCTGGAGCCTTGTTTTTCGCCAATGCCTTCAGTGCAGGTCAAACTTCTTCCTTCAGTCCCGTCAGTTCTCGATCATATGCCAACTTCTGAAATGGGTGAGCATCAACCAACTCTTTCGGTACAGTACTCTCCGTATTCCTTCCATCTTCTTTTGATGCTTCCTGCGTTGTTCAATATTTTGCCCACAGAATCCTTCAATGCTGCAACTCGAGGCTTGAATTTTTTTCTTTAGTTCTTTCAGTTTAAGACATGCCAAGCATGCTTTTCCTGTTTTGGTTTTCTAACTCCAGGTCTTTGTACATTTCATTATAATAGTTTATTCTGCTTTCTCAGGCCACTCTTTTGAAATCTTCCATTCGGCTCTTTTACTTCATCATTTCTTCCATTCACTGTACCTACTACTCTACATTCAAGAGCAAGTTTCAGTCTCCTCTGACATCCATTTTGGTCTTTTCCTTCTCCTTTGTCTTTTTAATGACCCTTGGTTTTTTTCCTGTATGATGTCCCTGATATTCCACAACTGGTCTGGTCTTCAGTCACTGCTGTTCAATGCGTCAAATCTATTCTTGAAATGGTCTCTAAATTCAGGCAGGATATACTCAAGGTCGTACTTTGGCTCTCGTGGACTTGGTCTAATCGTCTTCAGTTTCAAGGTAAACTTGCAGATGAGCAATTGATGGTCTGTTCTATCGTCTGCCACTGACCTTGTTCTGACTATTGATACTGAGCTTCTCCATCATCTCTTCCCACAGAGAGCCTATTTCATTCTTACATATTCTATCTGGCGAGGTCCACGGGTACAGTCACCATTTATGTTGTTGAAAAAGGTATTGCCAATAAATATGTCATTGGTCTTGCAAAGTTCTATCATGTGATCTCTGGCATTGCTTCTATCATGAAGGCCTTACTTTCCAACTACCGATTCTTCTTCATTTCCAACTTTCACCTTCCAATCACCAGTAATTATCAATGCATCCTGATTGCATGTTTGAACAATTTCAGACTTCAGAAGATGGTGAAAGTCTTCAATTTATCTTTGGCATTAGCGGTTGGTGTGTAAATTTGACTAATAGTCATATTGACTGGTCTTCATTGTAGGCACATGCATATTATCCTATCACTGACAACACTGTACTTCGGGATAGATCTTGTTCTTTTTGACAATAAACACGATGCCGTTCCTCCTCAATCTGTCATTTCCGGCACAGCAGACCATATGATTTTCTGATTCAAAATGGCCAACACCACTCCATTTCAGCTCACTAATGCCTGGGATATCGATGCTCAAGCGTACCATTTCATGTTTGACAGCTTCCAATTTTCCTTGATTCATACTTTATACATTCCATATTCTGATTATTAATGGGCATCTGCAGCTGTTTCTTCTCATTTTGAGCTGTGCCACAACAGCAAATGAAGGTCCTGAAAGTTTGATTCCATCCACGTCATTAACGTCAACTCTACGTTGAGGAGGCAGCTCTTCCCCAGTCGCATTTTGAGTGCCTTCCACCTTCAGGCGCTCATCTTCCAGCACTATATCAGACAATGTTCTGCTGCTATTTATAAGGTCTTCACTGGCCAAGTTTTTCAGCAGACCGCCAGGACCTTCTTCCTCGTCTTAGTCTAGGAGCCTTGCTGAAACCTGTCCACATGGGCGGACATGCAGGTCTAGGGCTTCACAAATATCGGTAATATTCTTAAGAAAAAATCCAAACACGAACACAGAAGAACATGACCCTCAAAGACAAAACTAAATTTAAGAAGTTCCTTATAATCTCTATTAGCCTAAAAACGTTTAACTTGGTAGTCTAAAACAAAACAAAAGCAAATAAAAAAGGTGGAAATAAGTGTGAATTCTTTCAAATAATTTCGAATGTGGACATTCAGAGAGAGGAAGGTTACTGACTGTAAGAGAACATTCTGAAGTACATACTGTGAGGGCCAGATCAGGTGGTTCAATTTTCACAATTGTTCCAGACATTTTTACTTCTTTCAGTAGTTCTCTAAGTACTGGAGTTTGTGACAAATTCTGGAATGAAGAATGAAAAAGAAGAAGAAAATTATTTTAAAGGATAATTAATTTATCCAAATATTTCTTAAGTGTCCATGAAACCAGAAAATCACCACCGACACTACCATCTTATGACATCTACACCTGGGAAATGAAGAGCTATGGTGTGCTTTTCTCTCCACTCTATTGGCTGATTAACACTTCAGTTCTGTCTTCTTCACCTCACAGGTGCACTCTCCATCCACCCAACCTGAGCAGCTATCTCTCCCCAACCACCACCACCACTTACCACCACCTGTAACTAGAAATTTGTTTCTGTTCTAGATTATCCTTTGCTTCCTCACCCAAGTGCAAGCTACATAAGGGCAGGGACCATGTCTGTTCTGAACCCCACTGTACGTCAGTACTCAACATAGTGTTTTACTGTAATGCAAAATGAAACGTTTCTTTTTTGAAAACACAGAAACGCATTACATAAGAGACAAAACTCCCCAGAAAAATTAGATGATGCCTGGCTACCACCACTGACCGCTCTAACAGGGGATCACAATAGAGTCCCGGACAGAGTGGGAGAAAAATGTAAAACAAAATTCAAATTCAAAAAGGACCAGACTTACCAATCTGACACAGACTGAAGGAACCCCTGAGACTATGGCCCCCGGACACCCTGCTAACTCAGAACTAAAGCCCCTCCCAAAGCCCACTTTTCAGCCAAAGATTAGACAGGCCTATAAAACAAACAGTAACACACATGAGGAACATGCTTCTTAGTTCAATTAAATACACAAGACCAAATGGGCAACTCCTGCCCAAAAGCAAGACAGGAAGGGACAGGAATGGGGTGAACGGACACAAGGAACCCGTGGAGCAAAGGGGAGAGTGCTATCACATTGCAGCGACTGCAATCAATGTCACAATTTGTGTATAAATTTTTAAATAAGAAACCAACTTGCCCTGTAAACTTTCACCCAAAGCACAACAGAATTATTTTAAAAATACCATACAATCAATACTGTAAGTAATAAAATCTATAACATAAAGAAAAGACTAAAAGAGTCCTTAAAAAAGGAAAAAAGGGTAATACTGGCACCTGCATAACTGCATTGAAGAAACATGTATTTCCCAAATTACTGAGTCCTTTCACGGTTATCTGGGAAGTAGAATTCATGGAAGGATTTTCTTTAGCCATGTTTTCCTTTTTTTCTCTCTCTTGTTCATTTTTATTTTCTTTTTCTAATTTTTTATTTTCAAGTTCAATGTTCCCATTACCTTTTGCTGTTTCAAAAAGGGGGAAGAGAAAAATGATTTAGTAAAATACATAATACAAATGCAAAGTTATTAACTGGGACCCGAAATTTTTGAATGTTATCTAATGTCATTATTTGCCACTTGTTTGTTTTTAAATGTTGACTAATTAATACAGGTAAATTACCATGCAGAGAGAGAGAAACAAAAATATTCAAAGCTGATATAAGCATTAGCTGGACAAATGAAGCCAAACAGTGCTGTATATACTCTGGTATAAATCTTCTCTTTTCTACCTCACAAAAATTCTTTACAAATGAGCATATCTTACCTTCAGAAATTAAAGTAGAAAACAATCTTTATTTGAAAAATGTGGATATAAAATAATTTTTTAAATGAATTCTGCAGGTCAAAAACCAATCCAGAAGCATGGAACAAACAATTCTGGCTCTGCCAAAGGTACTTCTGCGATCATCCTATCCCCTTCCCAGTAAAAATCTAATCGCACTTAAAGCAGATGCTGTAAGCCAACCCAATTAATTCAATTATTCATGACAAAAAACCTGAGACACATCAGGCTACTAGAAGTACTTTTATATCATCCCAACAAATGGACTGGTATCTTGCTATTACAAAATGGAATACAGTAAATTCTGGTATAAATCTTACCAGGTCTACCTAAAGTACCACCCCAAGGTAGGGACACAGGAAGTTACCACCCGTTACCTCAGTCCAGACTCTTCATCGCATCTGACTAGCTCATCTCTGAGATACCTTCCAAATCTAGCACTTGTAATTATACACATTTCCAATGCTTTACATTCTTAAACAAGAATAGCTTCATATTTCGAAGACCACTATAACTAATTTTACCCAGCTATACATAAATGCTGGAGCCCTGGTAGCACAGTGGGAAAGAGCTAGGCTGCTAATCAAAAGGTCAGCAGTTCAAATCCACCAGCCGCCCCTTGGAAACTCTATGGGGTAGTTCTACTGTCCTATAGGGTCTCTCTGAGTTGAAATATACCTGACGGCAACGTGTTTTTATATGTAAATGCTAGAATGGTACAATAAATTTAAACGTCAGCACATACGTAAGTCAACATTATCATCTACACTAAGAAAAAGATGATTTTACCTGATTGCAGAGATGTAATGCCAGCTTGTTTTCTAATATAATCAACCGCCTGCCCCAATCGGTTTGAACGGCAATACTGGACCTCATCATCACACAGGTAACACCTGTCTCCCAACAGATCACAGAGAAGAAAAATGACAGACAGAGCAACCAAAAATCATTCCCAGACAACAAAACGCATATCCACCAAATTATTCTATTAACTGAAAACAAAATCCATTCAAATAAAAATTATTTGTTTTCTGGAAAAAAACTATCCATATTAACTCTGGTTTACTATTTACTAAGGTTAGCCAGAATTCTGTGAAAAAACTCCAAACATACATTTTACTGGAATGGTTATTTCTAACACTGAAGTCAAAAGTTTTTTCTATACATATTTCAAAACACATACACATAATTCAAAATACTAACAAAATTAACAAATCTTACAATGCCAATGAACGCTGCTGTGGAAACACATGGGTTTTAAAGATACGAAAATCTGTTATGATGTTAAAATACAGGAACTACAACACACAAGACTGAGACTTATTGTTGTGCGTATTAACTGCCAACATTTTACTATATATTCAGTTTATGAAATTTGTTCTTAGTGTCCCAATTTTTAAAACAAAAAAGTAGCCCACTAAATGCTTCATAATACCACAAGAAAGAAAAAACAAAAAGGTGAAGAAGATTTCCTAAGTTTTCTACATGCTACAATTTTTGTTTGTTCAATACTAAGCAAAAACTTCATATAGCCTTCTGAAAGAAAAGTATCTGAACAAATATTGCAAAATTTTTAACTTTTTTGTTTCTTGAACGTTTTCTTCAAATATCTCCGTTTTCCAATATTTCAGGAAATTTCTCATCCATGTGCACAAGAGGTGAAACTCACCACACGCTCCAGGTGTCCAAATTAAGAACTAGGCAGTGAGGTTCAGATCTCGGTGTCATGTAGTGCTTTAAGGCATGCTGCTCCTGAGAATTTCTGCCACAGCCCTAGAGAACCATAACCACAAACCTCAGTCCCAAAAGTTCACGGAATGAGGAGAGAATGCACAATCTATAATGAACACGGAAATGGCGCCAGTATTTCTGCCATTCATACAATTTTGAAAATAAAACATTAACAAAATAAAAACTTTCAAAATAAAACGTCAACAAGAGTCTAGACTTTTGTTAAAACTTGCGTATCTATATGCAACAAAGGACATTTAAGGAAAAAGGCATTTAGAACACCACGCACTAACAGTACTGCTCCTCTCCAACGTGCCCTTTACAGCCCCAAGGAAACCACGCTAATTCACTCATTACGCCAGGTATGCGCTACGTAAAGGCCTCTTAATGGTTCTCTTGACTTTAGCCTCCTCCATATACCTATTTTTTCAGCTTAATGCTCCTAAAACAAAACTCTGTTCACACACCCAATTCAAAAATTAGCCACTGGTTGGCTTTCTCGGACAGCTCAGAGATTGGCTCCACGAGCAGCACTCATGTGGCGGCGGGGGGTGGGGGGTGTGGATTATCAACTGTTCTTAATCTTCTAATGAACAAACCCAATTCCCTTGACCCCAACGTTAACTCCCATATTCTCCTATTCATATACCATCTAAAAACATAGGACTTCCCCAGCTATACAATTTCGTTCATGTAATTCCACTTGTCCTGGAATCCTTCACTGTTCACTACCACATGGTCAAATCCCACCCACTCTTCAGGACTTTGCTCAAAAACCAAACTCTCCCAAAAGGTTACGCTTAGCCGCCCAAAGAAAATATTTTATCCTTCCTGTAAACAAACTCCTAAAAAACACAGTGTAAATTCCTAGTGGTATTCCTTATTTTCTACCTTGTATTGACATTATTAACGTTTACCTCTTTTCTCCCCTGGACTGTAAACCCTGAAGGCACAGATTATGTTTTACTAACCTTTCTAGTACCAAAAGATCTAGCACATAAGATACGGTCAATCGGCATTAACTGAACAAGTAAATGGAGACTTTCCACCTAAAAGATGTATAGGCTTAATCATAAAAGATCACGAGCGGATTTTCTGCTTCCAGCTAGTTAGATCACTGCTAAGAAATGCATCTTCGCTGTATGTCTATCTGAACCGGGCCACCAACCTCCGTGGGCCACGCTACAATAACTACTCCTGTTCCCACTAAAGCAAAAAATATACTTTAAATGTAAAAAAAAAAAAAAAAAAAAATTGGCTGTCGGCCTCATCTTGAAGCTCTGCCTAGTAGTCCAGTTTAACATAGAAACTTAACTTGCAATCACTAGGGGTGAGCGACAGACCCTGCCCTTTAGCAAGGCCTGCAGGATGGCACAGTGGACGCTGTGGCATGCTACCCAGATCCCCACTTCGGCACTAAGAGACAGAGCTGCCAGGAAAAATGCCTGCTGACAGCTCAGAGCCCAGCCGTTCCTCAGGAATTATCCTCAACCGAAGGGGCAGCCCACATCAACAGCTAGTCAATGAGCGGGTGCAAAGGCCTGGCCCCTCCCTTAATTCAGGACATCTCTGAAGGGCCAGAGTTCACCGTGGGACTGGCTGAGGCGCTGGAGCAAATGCCTCTTAGCTCAGCCTCTCCCTCTGCCTAATCCTGCCTCCCTCACTTTTACCTGGTGTAGTGCCTGAGAATATTCCCTAATAAACCACCTACACACAAATCTTCATCCAATCTGTTCCGAGAGAACATGACCTATGCCAGCTGGCATCCAAATCACTCACGCTGTATTTTTAGGTAATACCTCATAAAATAAGTTAAAAAACAAACCCACTGCCATTGAGTCAATTCCAACTCATGACAACCCCAAGTGTTACAGAGTAGAACTGCTCCATAGGGTTTTCTTGGTTGTAGTCAAGCACAACTGTTTGCGCCACCCAGGGACCTCAAATAAGTTCAGAGTTTCTGAAACCCCATACTGATCAAAGTTTAAGCATACCTGATGGCCACATTTAAGACACAGCCAAACGGAAGGGTTTTCTTCTGTTTCCTCCTCAGATTTACCTTTTACTTTATTATCGGTCTTACAATCTTGGCAAATATTCCATTCCACGCCCACTAGAGCCCTTTTCAGGTTACTCGGCTCCAATCCTTTTCTAGTGTGCCTACACACAGGTTCTATGAAAACAAATAAAAAAGCACACGTTAATCTCAGAACTTACCTCTCATCCAAACTTTGAAAACCAGCTTACTGTATAAACAAACTGTTAGATAACAAACTTATTTTTGTTTGATATTTAACATTAGGAAATGATTATGTGAGAAAGACATTTTATACAAATTTAAAATTTTACTTTTTTAGAGTCTGAAATATAACTCCCCATAAAAATCACTTCAATTCATTTAGCTGTTTCCTTTAAATTAAGGCTCTTTATCTTAGATGCCAAGGAGCCTAGAAGTGACCAAGTCACAGCTCTTCTCTTTGAGCAGCCCACAAGCTGGCAGGAGAGACAAATAAATAAATGCGTAAAAATCTCCAAAACATGCTACAGCAAGCAGCACCAGATAAGGCTAAAGTTGCTGAAAGTTTCAGAGGGGCAGTAACATCTGGACGGTCTTGGAAGACAATAACAGTAATAGAAATTTCTGATATTTGAGCCTGGCACCATGCTAAATGGCTGCATACATTCTCATTTAATCCTCACAACCACCCTAGAAGAAAGAGATTACTATCCCCAACGACAGAGGAGGAAACTAAGTTTTACACCACAGACACTACTGAGGGGCTGTGTGAGAATCTGGACTCAGGTCTTCCTGATTCCAAAGCTCTGAATCGCGACCTCAGGGACAGAAGGGCAGTCTACAGAGTCCATCCCCCAGGAGCAAAGCCATGGAGGGATAAAAGTATCTGCTGTTCCCAGAATGACCAGAGCTACACAAGGTACAAAACATGAACAGCTGGACCTGTGGCTAAAACTCCTATTGGGGCCAGAGCAAGTGAAGGGCTTTGCAAGTTACTCTCAAAGGCTTGAGTTCTTTCAGAGGTCCTGGAGGTTTAGAAAGTAGTTAAGGGGCACGATTAGCTTTAGTCCAATGAGCCTGCAATTCACCGAAAGAAATATAAATGCAAGTGAGATCATGTGAAAAAATACTAAGCCTCAGTAGCAGCCAAAATACAACTTTAAACCAGGAGATACCTTTTTCCAAGTAACAAGTCAGCAAACACTTTGAGAGATGATAGTAACTAGTGCTGGTGAAGGCTCAGGGAAATGGGCATTTTTTCACGCCACTGCTGTTAGCTGCTGCCAAGTCAGCCCCTGACTCTTGGCAACCCCACACACAACGAATCAGACCATTACGATCCGCAGGGTCTTCACTGGCTGATTTTCGGAAGCAGATCGCCAGGCCTCTCTTCCTCGTCTGTCTTAGTCTGGAAGCTCTGCAGAAACCTGGATAGCATCGTAGCCCAATGAAAGCCTCCACTGACAAACGGGTGGTAGCTAGGCCTTTAAGTTGGTAAAACATTGCTGGAGAGTAACTGCACAATAGTATCAAAAAAGCCTTGAACATATTTATACCTTTTGATCTAGCAATTGTATTTCTAGAATTTGTACTAAGGAAATAAATGCACAAATTTAGCTACATAGATGCTTACTGTTGCTCCATTCATAACATTAAAAAGTTAAAGACCACCCAAATCTACAACAGGAGAGGGTTAGCTACATAAACTATGAAATATGCATTCCTGGCCCCTTACATCAATGGAATATGATGCCAGTAAGAATATTATAGCAGACTACTGAGGGACATGGAGGCAGAAATATTCAAATGCATATTACATGACAATAAGGTACACTGCATTTTTTTTTTAAATTGCGTTTTTATACATATTTTAAAAATACATATCCCTTTGGGGACATAAACATTACTCTAAAGATTTAAATAATAAAATATACCTAAAGATTCAGAAGAATCATCAATCAGAACAGTTTTTCCCTTTGTCCGTTTCTTTCCCATGATGGTACTTTATGGATGACTTACTGACACAAAATAACAATCTAGAAAACAAGATAAAGTTAGCTTGACCAAAAAAGGGTAGGTTTTCTATTTCTCTAGGAGAAAGTAATACAGTAAATCACATATAGGATAGCATTTTGCATGTATCGCACTTTATAAGACCACACATATATATAGCTTAATTTTCAATAAGAACTCTGTGCAGTAGGTAGAGAAGATAGTGTTCCCCGCTTTTCATAGCTTGCGAAACTGATCCTTAGTAAGGCTGAGAGATTTTAAATAAATGAGAAGGTGAGGCTGAAGCACAGGTCTTCTTACACGGACCTTGAAAAGTCTCAGCACTTTACACTATTAGCAATTTAATTCTTCATTACATAAATGTGGAATACTGGTGGCACTTTTAAACCTCAGACTGATTTCCTTTCCTTTAAAGCTACTTATTTCTTAGCTCTGCAGTCTATGCAGGTTACATTGATAATTTTTCTAAGAAAAATTAAAAATAATTCTGAAAGGAGTTAGAAAATTAACAAAATAATTTCAAAGTCAAATATAAAAAGCAATACACTGTTCCACATTTTCCACACCAGGATTTCCTGGTGGCCCGCTAGTTAAGAGCTCAGCTGCTAACGAAAAGGTCAGCAGTTCGAATCCACCAGCAGCTCCTCGGAAACCCCTATGGGGGAGTTCTACTCTGTCCTATAGGGTCGCTGTGAGTCAGAATCAACTCGAAGGCAATGAGTTTTATTAGCTAGCAGGGAACTGACTAGAACTGCATTCTCAACTATTTACATTATTATATTATTGCCAAAACCAGTTTGGGAGACTATGACAAACCCTGAGCTGCACATCAAATCTTCACCTCTTTAATCAACAATTCAAAATTAGAAAATATGAAAAGTGCTGAAGTACATACAAATCTACCTAACTGTACATAATAATAATGGTTTAGAAAAGTTGTATTTTACATGTACTAAAAAAAAAACTTATGAGTGTCAAAATCACTTAAATGACTAACCCTATAACAGTTGTTTTACCTGGAATGTTTATTAAAATTCTCATTCCATATGTAGAAAGTGTGGCCGAGAACATATGTTTTGAAACACTGCCCAGTTAATTCAGCTATGTAGCTGTCATCACTGCTCTGGCTTAGAGTCTTAGATATATGTATTCCTCTTTTTAGCTCTTGATAGGTTAGTGTAATTAAAGGTAAGATAATTCAAAAGGCTTGTATAAAAAATAAGTGCCACATCAAGTAATTAGTAAGAAAATCCTTCCAAGGATAATGTAAAATGTTTACAAAATCAATTAATAAACAACAAAGGAACACAAAGTATATGGATTTATATGGAACGATGTACATTTTATGTATTATTCCTCATTCTAAAAATGACATTTCATATAATTTATCTTATCTAGAATAAACTGAAGATTTTACAGAAAAAAAAAAAGTACCAAAGTTCTTGCCTCCAACCCAACTCCCTCTAATCTGTGCTGCATGCCAGTACCAAATTCATCTTCCAATAATGTCATTTTCATCACATCACTGCCTTGATTGCAAGCATTTAACAGTTTCTCTGTCCAAACTCCTAGACTTTGCACTCATGGTATAATTTGGCCCCAACACTCTGGTAATCCTGACTCTCATTACTCAACAAGGAACCACTAAGTTTTTGGGTTTTGTTTGTTGTTTTTAATGTTTGTGTGTGTGTGTGTGTGTGTGTGCATGCGTGTGGTAAAGTTATTCAGTATACAACAACACATTTGCCATTTCAATATACAGTTTTAATTATATAGTGCTTTGGATCTTCCGGAGCCCTGGTGGTGCAGTGGTTAAGTGATACGCCCGCTAACCAAAAGGTCAAATCCACCAGCTGCTCCTTGGAAACCCTATGGGGCAGTTCTACTCTGCCCTCTAGGGTTGCTATGAGTCAGAATCAACTCGACGGCAACGGGTTGGCTTAGGTTTGGTTTTTCTGGGTCTTCAAAGCCCTTTAACAAACGTCTTGTTTTACTTTCACAACTCTTTAGGCACTTCCTGAAATGAGGAAGCTCAGAAACAGAACACTGAAAGATGACAGAGCAGCAGAGACAGAACCAAAACCCAGATCTTTACATTCCAAGACTCTTTCCATTACAATCAAGCCCGTCTCTTCAGTATCCTACACTCCAAAACACCTTGCCCTCATCTCTATGCCTTTGATTTCCAGCAGGAATGTTCTCTCCATCTATCAAAATCTTACCCATCCTCCAAGCTCTCCATCTCAACAAAACCCGAGCCAGCTTTCCTACTCTAACTAAACCTCTCCAGTGAACTTCCCCAACATTTATACTGAGCGTTATTCCTCTTGTCCCCTACTTAATACCATAGCAAACTGCTTCTTAAATCTTTAACCTGGACCTGTTATTTCTCTACCCGGAATCTAAAGTTCTAAGAGAAACAAATTGTTTTAGGTGTTTCTTCTGAATTGTCTATAGCATCTAGCAGAGTATTAACACATAGAAGACTCTCAAGAAATACTTCTAGCATTGAAATGGAGAAAGAGAATGGTACCTGAGCCATGAAGGATGATTATAAGGTGCAAAGATGGGTACACAAGAATGAAGCAGACAAGTTCTGGTGAAAAAGAAAAGGGTGAAGAGTGAAGAGGTCAGCAGGACTGAAGACAGCACTAGAAAATCTGGTTTGAGGACTGCAGAAGCCCAGACTCCAAACGAAAACTCGAAAGACGAATTGTAATTGCTGCAGGCAGAACACAGTAGGGGGTCAGCACTTCAATGCTGTGGAAACAGTTTCAGTTAAGTTCTGACAACTATAAAACGCATTTAATGAGTGAGTCTGAGAAAACAGTATTGTGAATGCCATAAAAAAAAAAACTATTAAATTTTCAGGAGTGTCTTCGGATGAGAATTAGATCCTTGGCCAAATTACTCTTTGTAGGACTCACGTCACATAAAATTTAAATCAAAGCTAGTCTTGCCAGTTTTTATATTAATCGTCTTCCCCTGCCTACTCCGTTCCATTAAAAATGCAAGCGTGTAGGAAACTTCGTCAGAACGTCTTAAATGTTGCTTTCAAGTTTTGGGTAGTTGGATCCTCTCCTAGGAGCATTCAGTCGTGTAGGTAATAGATCCTGGTTTTCCTATTAATCACAACGTGGACGCGGCTGTAAACCGAGCCGCAACCTATGGGTGCTCTTAGCGGCGCGACACCCACCCACTCGCGCAGCACCCGCCACACCTGCCCTTCCTTTCCAACTGCTCTGCACCCACAGGGGAACCTCGGGGTCCACGGGGTCAAAAGGGGCGCCAGCACCAGCTACGCACGGGTCAGCTCCTGGAACTGACAGGACATACCCCAATAAGAACGTGGGGCCCGGCCGGGACCGGGTAATGAGGTTAAGACAGACCGGCCGTCGAAAACAGAACGAGGTCGGGGCAGAAAATTCGGGTCCTTCGGAGCGCAGGCAATCGTGCGAGCCTTGACTGCGAATCAGTGGGGCCAGAACTCACCCACGGCGACAGCGCCCATAACTGCATCCCCTAGTGGGCCTGTGGGCTTGGCAGGCAGCTCCGTCTTCCTCCCGGTGACGATTAAACAGCCACAGAGCCCGAAGCCCCCGTGAACCCGAGAACGCAAGAACTTCCGGGACGCGGCATTATAGGAAGCGGCTTCCGCCCAGAGTTCAGCGCGGTGACGCTTGAGAATTGCGCCTGCGCACACCTGCGCCGGAAGTGCGGGGGCCTCAACGCCTTGAGTGTTCACACTCCCATATCGCTGTGGGGTTATTTAAATACGAGGAAAGTGGGGGTGCCGAGTGAGGGCGATGGGTTCGGGACCTCTCTGCTGGAATATAAGTAAATGAGTGCCGGTGTCTTCCGAGTTACCTTAATCACGTTAGATATGAAGTCTCCATAAGGGGAACGGAACATTTAAATTTCACGCAGTTTCCCTAATTCTGTTCTGTTAACTTCTAAAATTACGTAAATTGTCTTGAACTAACTTTGCCGTAGTACGTCAGAATTAAAAGGTAAAGCAGTGTGGGTGAGATTTAAAACAGAACTGAAAAGATATTAAAGGAACTACGGAGGATAAAATTGTCAAACCTTTACCGTTTATTCGTTCAAATATGTAAGTGCCCACTTGTGCTAAGCCCTCTAAGTGAATTAAACATAGGCTTCGCCCTCCTGGAATTTAACACCGGAGACGCAATATTCAGTTAAAAAAAAAGCAAGTGCCGATGGAACAATAAGGGATGTAAGCAAGTAATTAAAAAACAGACAATTGGTCATAAAATACATGAAGAAATACCCTTGCTAGTAATCAGAAGTAGATTGAGATATAGTGGAGAAAAAAACGTATAGTTAAATTTGGGGACAAACTGCTCTCCTATCCTTTACTGCTACTGAGATACAATTTTGTAAGATTTCTTGGCTGATTTAGAAATATTTGGAATCATTGTTCCTGACCATGAGCATGGAGAAACGTGACCCAGCTGGGGCTGGGCCCTCACAGACTCAAAGACACATCAACTGGGCCCTGAGATAAGACAATAGATGGGACAATCTCAAAAATTATCTTAAAGAAGTTTTCACGAAAGGGCAATGAAACCTAACCCAAAGGACTTCTTTTTGTCTTTTTCTATTAACATTTAGTGAATAGGAATTTGTTGGACCAATGAAGACCTTCTTGACTTTCATACCTGAAACCCATACCAACGATTGTTAAGAAAGATGATTTAAAACGTAAAATTACAATTTCTAGCCAATCGGTGGAAAGGTGACGATTTCAATGATTCTACCCATTTTGTGATGTTGATATATACTGATGATTCTGTAACCTTCTTTGGACTCAGGCAGACATGGCTGTGGCAGCATGCTTACCCGTTTTTCCATTCTCACCTATTCTGTAATATTCTTTGGACTCAGGCGGACATGGCTCTAGCAGCATGCTTGTCCATTTTCCCACTTTTGTCTGTTCTGTGATATTTCCTTGGACTCGGGCAGACATGGCTCTGGCAGCATGATTGTCCGATTCCCACTTCTGCCCTTTTGAATATATGCTGAATAAAACTTTCTTTTTGCTTTACTAAACTTTGTGATGTTTTTCCCCTACAACACTGCTAATGTCCAGCCACACTGCCATTGTTTGTTGTTTTCCTATTCCAAAATACAGCCTTAAGGCATTGTACCACCTACTTCCCCTGCTGGAATGATCTTCCCCTTATCTATCATGGTTATTGTCTTCTGTTCACACCTGAGAAGTCATTTCCTCACGGAAGTGTTTGCTGAGCCACCTACGTACATCAGATCATTCGTATCACCTTGTTTTACTTCTCTGACAAGCAATTATTACTATTGCGGATTTTTCTTTCGTATTTGCCTATATACTTGCCTCTCTGCCTCACCACAAACACACACCTTTGTCTTATTCATGGCTGTATCTCCAGTACCTATAAGTGCCTGAACATAATACGCGCTTATAAAAATATTGAAAAGTCATTACAAACGAAATATTTGTACAAAAAATGTTCATAGCAGCTTTATTCATAATAGCCACATACAGAAAACAAAGTGGAAACAGCCTAGATTTCCACAAAAAAAAAAAAAGGAAAAACTGGTGTGTTCATTCAATGGAATACTATTCAACAATAAAAACTACTGATAGAAGAACACAAGTGAATCTTTTATACTGAAAGAAGCCTTACACAAAACAGTACTGTATGATTCCATTCATACGAATTTCTGCAATAGGTAAAACTAACTATGCTGGAAAAAAATCAGGATAGTGGTTGTCTCGGGGAGTTGGGTGGGGACTGACTGGAGACGGGCATGAAGGAACTTTCTTGGTCACTGGGCAAGACCACCTAAGGCCATCACGAGCCACCACCCACCCACGCTCACCTCTCCCCAATGCGGTGCTACGCAGTGTCATTGCGCGTCTAGCAGCGTGGGGTTGGAGGCTGTTACAAACGCGCCATCTGGAACCCACCGCTTCCTCCCGAACTGGGATCTACACTTTTAACAAGATCTCCGAATAATTTTACGTAAGTTCAAGTTTGAGAAACGTTAATGATCATGCCTTGTCCCAGCTAGAGCTCCGGCTGCACTTCTCCCTGATAGTGTCGGCAGCTGGGAAGCGTCGATAAGATCGGGATGGAAACGTGTAAGAATGAAAACTCGGCGCATGAGGAGGCAGATGGCACGCGCCACGCCATTCCCGGGTTGCCCGGTCGCCGCACCAACGAGCCCTCACGGCTCGGGCTTCCGGGACCGACGGGCCGCGCGCGCGCACGCGCAAGCACGAGAGTGCGCGGACTCACTTCCGTGAGGCCGCCCGTAGAAGCAGTTTGTAGGATTCCGGTCGCTGTGCCCTGAATTCCGAGGCTGCCTCCCAAAAGGACTGTGCAGTCAAAAAGCCCGGAGATACATCATGAGGTTGCCCTCACTGTAGGTGAGTGAGTCCTCTATCCCGCTGCCCCAAGCGGGACTCTACACCGACGCCGCGGCTCGCTCAACCTTCGGGGAATTGCGGACCTACTGGCACCACTTTCGCACGCGTTACGCGTCTGCTCATTGGTCAGAGCCGGCCTCGGCGGTTCCTGTCCCGCCCATAGCTGGGGACGCTTCCCTCCGGGGGAGTGGGGGGAAGGGTTCGGTTGCTAGGGGTGACGGCACGCTTGCTGGGCTGCGGTGATGGGCCAAGGATGCTTTCTGAATTCTTGCGTGGGCACTTGGGTTGCTGGACTCCTGCTCCGATTTAAAATTAAAAAAAATCTGCAAGGGAAAAAAAGTAATTCCAGTCGGGATCTTACTTTTCATTATACGTTTTAACAGAACAATTCACCGATATCTTGAGTCAGAAAATTCCGTTGAGGTTTTTTTTGGTGGGGGGGCTGAAATTTTATCTGCGATAATAATTTGACAAATGACTGACTTGTGACATCACTCCCATAGTTGTCTGCTCACGGATCTCTTCATCCCGAATATCTTCCAGACCTCCATATTAGATAGGGCCCTCTGCACTTCACTCCTCTGGGTGACTACTAAAATTGCATCTCCAGCTGCATGTCTGCTAAACTCTAGAATTGTATATCCAACTGCCTGCTGTATATCTTTGCTTAATGGTGTCTTACTAGACACTTCATTACTAAGTATGTCTAGAACCAACCTTCAGATTCCACCACCTTCCCCATCTAAGTACATGGCAAAGCCATCCTTCTACTTGCTTGAAGACTTGGAGCCATTTTTACATATCCTACCTCATTCTTCAGTAAATCCTGTAGGCTCTGTTTTGACTAGGTGTCCAGAACCTGAGCGTTGCTCACTGCCTCAACCACCACAACCCTAATCCAAGCCACCATCATGTCTCCCTAGCTCATTGCAACATCTGTCTGGTCTCCCCACTTTCATCCTCGTTCCCCTACACTCTTCTCCACAGCAGCAAGGTATGAAACATCAAAAACTATGAATAGTCGTTTCCTTGGGAGAGGGACTTAGCAGGTAGTAGAAGAGGCAGAGATAATATCTCCATTTTTCACCTTTTTCTATCATTTGTATCTTCTAACCATGTACTATTTTTGTTTGTTTAATGTTAATGGGTTACTTAGGCTGTGGGATAATTATTCTGTATTTTCTCTTCTTTACATTTTTCTGCTTTTCGTTTTAAATTAATGAACTTTAATTTTTAGTTAAGAAAAGAAATCTAACCATCCACATTAGTAAACTGTCTTTTCCATTCACTCTGGGTTTCCCACCTAACCAGTTACATCCCCTCTCCAGCTGTATTATTGATACAGCTTTTTGACTACATAATTAGTTTACTTCAGTGAAATTGCTTATTGTGGTAGCTCAAGATGCCAGATCAACTGTGTTGATACAAAGGAATTTGGTGCCTCATTATTGCTAGAGTGTTATGACTATCCCTGGATTTTCCCATATTTTGGTCCTTGGCATATTACATCCAAAAGTAGAATAATGGAGAATCTAATTAAATTTCACATTTTATGAAGAAATCGAATACATTTTCAGTAAGTACTCATATTGCTCGATTGAGTTCCCCCAAGAGTGTATATGTAAATCGTCTCTTATTCTTACCTCCTTAGAAACTTACAGGTATCGGGAAATGACTGAGCTTGAGCAGGCTGAGGCCCAGCTCTCTGAGTTAGAACTGCTGGCCAGTATGTTCCCCAGTCAGAAGGAGTTCATAGTGAATGACCAACTGGCTTTAGCCGAACTGAAAGATTGTATTGAAAAGAAGACCATGGAGGGGCGATCTTCAAAAATTTACTTTACTGTAAATATCAACCTAGAGGTGTCTGAGAAAGAAATGGTAATTCATTATTGTTTTTGAAAGAATAGAAACACGTCAAGACTTAAAACAGCACTTAAGGCATTTTTCTCCTTTCTTACCAGGTGATGTTTTCACTGGCCTGTATTCTTCCTTTCAAATACCCTGCAGTGCTGCCTGAAATCACCGTCAGGTATGGTACAGAAATTCTCATCAAGCTTGGAGCTGAAAACCAATCTGAGACTAAAAGCGATTCTCATGTTTGTTTTTTGCTCCAAGAAAACTGATTTAATCTTTTCCCATATCTTTTCCATCAGATCAGTATTATTAAGTAGATCCCAGCAGACTCAGCTGAACACAGAGCTGCATGCATACCTGCAAAAGAACTGTTGTGGAGATGTCTGTATATTGAATGCCACCGAGTGGGTTAGAGAACATGCCTCTGACTACATCAGCACAGACTCCACATCTTCCGCCACCACAGGAAGTACAGCCCAGTCACTCGATCTCATTCTCACGCGCCTCTGGATCTATAGCCATCACATCTACAACAAATCCAAAAGGAAGAATATTCTAGAATGGGCGAAGGAGCTTTCCCTGTCTGGGTTTAGCCTGCCAGGAAAGCCTGGTGTTGTGTGTGTAGAAGGGCCACAAAGTGCCTGCGAAGAATTCTGGTCAAGGTTGGCCTGCGTATATCTTATATGCTGTGTCATTAATTTTAGTACTGAACAGGGTAGTTATTGTTGTTGTTATGCGCCGTTGAGTAGATTCCGACTCAGAGCGACCCTATAGGACAGAGTAGAATTGCCCCACAGGGTTTCCAAGGGGCGGTTGGTGGATTCTAACTGCCGACCTTTTGGTTAGCAGCCCAGATCTTAACCATTGTGCAACAAGATAGTAGAGATGTGGAAATAAGTATGTCCTTGGGGTGGTATCTTCATGGGGTTTCGATCTCAAGTCAGTGGGTATGGTAGAAATCACGTAATCAGCATCATCCCCGTCACCTGACACAATGCACATAGGAGATGTCCTGTAAACATATGTTGAATGAATTGAGCCCCTGAACAAGATGCTGTCTGTATTCCTACCTGTTACTGTGGGTCCAATTCTTTCTTCATTTTAGAGCCATATACAGTGTAAAACCAGGGACTTTCTAGGAGCATGAGAATTTATACTAGCCTTCCGTTCTCTACTGATTCCCTAAAAGAGTTTCTGAGAAGTCCCTTTAGTAGTTTGAAACTCAACAGTTTCTATGTTTCTAGGATGTTGCTACAAGCCAGTAAAATTTGCTTGGGACATTTCTTTTCAGACTCAGAAAATTAAACTGGAAGAGAATTTTGATTCGCCATCGAGAAGACATTCCTTTTGATGGCACAAGCGATGAGCTGGAAAGACAAAGAAAGTTTTCCGGTTTTGAAGAGAAAGCGTTCAGTGCTGACGGAGCCAGAGGGAACCACATGGACTTCGGTCAGCTGTATCAGTTTTTAAATGCCAGAGGATGTGGGGGTGTTTTCCAGATGCTCTTTGGTGTGGAGGGACAATGACTGAGCAGAGGAGTGGTTGCAGGTATCTCGTCCCTGTTGGCCTTTTGATTTTCCCACTCTTTCTTGAAAGATCAAGTCATTTTATTTTAGTCCCATTCTAGAAAGTTAGGGAGAAGAAAAAAAAAAAAACAGGAAAAAGGAGATCCTTAAAATGCATCTGTTAAAAATATGTAAAATGTATGATGATGGAGAAAGCATAATAATCACTATGGAAAGCAGAACAGAACTGAGGTTCAAATTATAATCTTAAAAGTGTTGATAGAAATGTCTTGACACATAAAGAACTCATTATAAAAGAGAAGGTAGTTATACCTAAGCAAGGTAGTGTTGGAGGTCTAACTTGTCCCCCATTCCCAATCCCCGTCTCTTTTACCTATCTCCACTAAAGAGCCTGGAAAAGCTAAAGGCTCACCCTCCAGCCTCGGTTACAGTTTGGGGTGGCCTCAGCACACGGCTTTGCCTAGGGGACTTCTGGGAAAGCTTTCGCTTTCCTGGTTAAAGCGACAGATGCAGCCAGGTCACCTCTTACCCTCTTTCTGCCACAAACACGAAGTGACGGCTGGAGCTGCAGTAGCTCTTCCTACCAGGTGGGAAGGAAGGGCCAAGAGAGCCACAGAGACGCCACCCCTGCATTGCTGAGCTGCTGGCCCAGCACCAGCCCTTGCCTATCTCTGGATGTCTTGTTATGAAATAAGACAAGTTCTGAAAGCTAGTTTGCAAATAGATTTTTTTTCAAAGCTTCAGTTTCCATCTACCTCCAGCCATTTTATATGCCAGTAGGTGAAGTTCTTAAATGACGTTTGCAGTCTGTCTCTGTTTCTGTGGACTTATGCTCCACCCCGCTCCTGGGCCTGCCTCTCGGAAGCCTGAGGCCAGGGTAGAGCCCACCATTCTTTACCCTCCAGCAAACTGGCAATTTCGAGAATTTGTTGTCAGCAAGTTGGATTTTAACAAGTTTTTCATCTTGGAAGATGACTTTCTGTAAATTTATTTTCAGCAAATTGACCTGGAGTCGAATAAACACAAAAACCACTACCTGGTTTTTGAGGCTCTCCATCAATCAGTTCCAAAAGTGTTTATTAAACATTTACTAATTGCTAGCACTCAGGTTGGTACCACGTGTTGGATTTTCCTTAAAGGGTGAGACTCTGCTGAGGGAAAAGGAGCTCACTTGTGTGTCTGCTCAGCTGCTGGTCAGCTAGGCGGCTTTGCAGACTTAGGTTCTCTTTCATGTCTGGGGCGCTGGCTGGAACACCATGATTCTAGTCCACGTGATCTATCGTCCTCCTGCAGGCTAGCCCAGCTTGTTCATCTGGCAGAGTCTGAGATCCAAAAGAGGTAGCAGAGCCCACCACACCTCTCAAAGCCTAGTCTTAGAGCTGGCATGCCATCACTTCTGCCACGTTGCATTGGTCGAGGCAAGTCACAAGGCCAGTCTGCATTCAAGAGATTGTAAAATAGACTGCATTTCTTGAAGTTAGGAGTCCGTAGTCACATTGCAAAGGATACTAAATACAAGAGGGGGTGTCAAACTGGGGTTATTTCATCAACTGATCTCCCACACTCATGCAATATTTCGTTGCTCTTTAACTCTTCCTGCCCTAATTGCTGTCAGGTAGAGCCATTTCACTAGTTCTAGCCAAAGAAATGTGAGCACCTGAAATTCCACGTTGTAGTCAAGAGAGTGACAAGTCTGTAAGCAATTGTCTGTCTCTTTTCCTGCCACAGCTGCTGTTCCAGATGGCTTAGCTGCAAGGTGATATTGCCTTCATCAGTCTACGTCTTTGAAAATGTGGAGCAAAGACCCATGTCAATCCATGCTGGGCATTTAGCCTGAGTGAGAAGTAAACTTTCGATGTGGTATACCAGGGGTCAGCAAACTACAGCCTCCCTCCCATCCATCCCACCCGTCTGTTTACTGATCGTATATGGCTGCTTTCACACTACAGCTACAGAGCTGAGAAGTCTCCCCAGAGACCACAGAGCCTGCAAAGCTGAAAATCATTACGTCTGTCCCTTCATAGAAAAGGTTTTCAGACCCTGTTAGACAATTACACATACTCCTGTGGTCTCACTTGAGCCCCTGGGTGGTGCAAACAGTTAACACACTTGGCTGCTAAATAAGAGGTTGGAGGTTCGAGTCCACACAGAGCTACCACATAAGAAAGGCCTGGCAATCTGCTTCTGAAAAATCACCTGTTGAAAACTTTGTGGAGCACAGTTGTACTCTGACACACATGGGGTCATCATGAGTTGGAGTCAACTCAATGGCAACTGAGGGAAAAAGTGGTCTCAATTGCTACCTACACATTAATGACTCCTAGATTATTTATCTCTAGAGTGATACCTGAGTTCCAGACCCACATAAATAGCCACCTGCCTTTTTAAGAGTAAGAGTAGACATCTCCACCTTAAGACCAAGATGCGGGGTGGAGGGAGTCACATTTTTGTAAATTTTTCAGAAGTGATATAGCTGTCTCTTTTCCCTCCAACACAGTTCTTGAATTGGGTGATTCTGGAGGGGCACAGACAGTTTTGATACCCATTTTTGCTGCAAATTGGAAAGATACTTCGGAGCAGTTCAATAAAAAAAGTAACAGAATCCTGATTCAGATGTAAATGAATCATTTTCAGTTTGACTTATTAAAGAGCTGAGAGGAAATTCATATAAATGTATTGAAAATGATTTTTTTTAAAACTGGAAAAAATGAGCTGAAATCTGTAGAAATTATTGGGAAGCAAATTCTAATGCAAAGTAGTTATTCATGATGAACAGAGTAAATCTCGAATAGAAATAATAGATTCTTGAATTGTTTGGAATTGGATTATTTGGAATCCAGTTAATGAGAAGTGCATGTCATAAGAACACATTAGAAAAAGACTTAAATCTTACATGAATAATGACATCAACATTGTAAAAGTTAGAGAACGCTTGCTGCAATGAGGCTGTTGATGGCAATGTGGTCAGTGAGTATTAGCCACTGCATAGGAACACTTGAAATGACCTGAAACACTTCAGCCTGTATGTGAAGGAAACTTGAGAGAAATTTTTCCCAAGTTTGACAATGAGCCAAAATTTTCTTGACTTTACTGATAATGAGTGATGAAGCTAAAATAATTTTTTCTAAACTGATTTAATTATAAAAGCTTTTTTTTTGATGAAGGTCATGCTAGAGGAAAGCCTGAATTACCTGCTGTTCTTTCTATGGCAAATGTTTCCAAGTCATTGTCCTGTGAAGTAGTGATCAAAGTGTATGCAGACAAAAAATGCAGGAAGAAGTGTAGTAGAGGTGTGACAGGCAGTTACTTAATAAAATATGTTGTTTTGCTAGACTCTGTGATGTTTGTTGTATTTATTGGCTTTTTTAAAATGGCTATGTTTTGTGATTTTTGTTTTTTCTCTTTCCAAATAAATGTTCACTTTTAACCTAATCTTGTATCCTTTATCCTGAAGAGGGTGCCAAAAATTGTGTAAGCTTCGGGCCCCACTAAAACATGAATCCAGTACTGATGTAATTAAAAGTTTTTCTTGGAATAATGTTCAGAATAAACCCGAGAAGAAAAATGATCAATAGTCTTAAGATAAATGTGATGGTATTTTAAAAAATTGTCTTGCTGTAGTTTTTGTAGCTTTTTTTCTTTTAAATTAGAGAAAACCTAGCTTTATTTAAACTCTTAACCACTGGCAAATTGAAATGCTTTTATTCAAGCAAGTGTGTTGGCAAATATTTTCAGATATGCCAGGAAGCAGACATTTTATTATCACTCTCCCCATTTTTAAAGGGAACTACTTAATATGCTGCACTTGGGAGCAAAACGAGAAAGTCAGTCAAGAAAAGGGAAAACTGCAGGGAAGAGTGGAACTACTCGGGAAAACAACGAAAGGTCAGAATCGCAAAATTTGTCTGCATAGCGGTCAGTCCGATTGGAGTAGGTGACAGAAGGTCTTGGGAGGGAGGTTTCTAGAGAAAAATGGCGGTGGGGTGGTTGAAGTAAATGAAACATCTAATGAAGTGTGAAAAACTTCAGATTATTAACCAAAATAATGCAACAAATAAAAAGGGAGGGAAATACATACTCCAGGAAAAACCAAAAGGTTCAAGAATGGCAAAGTAACCCTTTATACTACTTGGCTCTGCAGTAGACAGTATTTAAATATCTACAACAATATTAAAACCTACTAACTTTTAAAAGAAAAAATTCAGTGCCAAAATATATTAGACTTAATCGTGTGCATAAAACAGAATGGAAATGTTACCAGTTTGGGCAAAGTGAAGTCTAGGATCAGATGACAGAAAATGTTAAGTGGAAGGGGAAAGGAAAGGTGAGTGGGTGTTTAAGGGTCTAATATTTCCATCTCAAAAAGCCCATGGTTGATAAATAAGAAAGTTTGAGTGTATATCTTCATGTTTTAAAGATAACCAATAGAGGACTTCAAAGATGGTTATCACTATGTGAAGAGGATGGGGACAAGGGAAGCCATCCAAGCATAGAGAAACAGAAATTGTCTAAAGAGGAAAGGTAATCCCTAAGTGGTACAAGTTCCTGGGTTGTGCAAACGGTTAGAACACTCAGCTGCTAACCAAAGGGCTGGAGGTTTGAGTCCAGCCAGAAGCACCTTGGAAGAAAGGCCTGGCTGTCTGCTTCCCGAAAAGCCATTGAAAACCTTATGGAACACACTTCTACTCTGAAACAAATGGGGTAGCCCTGAGTCTGACTCACCTAGATGACAACTGCTTGGTTTTTAAGGAGGAAAGGGGAGGTTCTCTGAGGGAAGGGAGGGACAAATCCTGGGGTTTATAAAGCCTTTCTTGAGTATGTGTGTGTGCTGCATTTTTACTTCTTATTTTCTCTCCTTGTTATGTAAAATATCTTAGGAAACTCTTTTTTTTTTTTTCTTAAGCCAGGTACACATACTACTTTTTAGGACAAACTGAGTCCATGAAAGTACTGCAAAGGTGTACAAAGAGCCTTCCATTTCTGCACGATCTGTCAATCGCCATGATCAAGTAGGGTTTATCCCAGGAATACAAGGATGGTTCGACATTAGAAAATCAATCAACGTAATACACCACATCAACAGAATAAAGGAAAAGAACCACATAATCATTTATGTGAATGCAGAAAAAGCATTTGATAAAATCAACACCCTTTCATGATGAAAACCCTCAAGAAGATTGAAATAGAAGGGAAGTTGCTCAATATAATTAAAGGCATATATGAAAAACCAACAGCCAACATTATACTTAATGGACAAAGACTGAGAGCTTTCCCCTTGAAATCGGGAGCAAGACAAAGGTGCCTGCCCTCACCACTTCTGTTCAATATTGTATTAGAAGTCCTAGCCAGAGAAGTAAGAAAAAGAAATAAAAGGTATCCAGATTGGAAAAGAAGAGGTAAAATTATCTTTATTTTTGGATGACATGATCCTGTGTATAGAAAATCCCAAAGAATCCACAAGAAATCTTCTAGAGCTAATAGAGGAACTTAGCAAAGTTGCAGGGTACAAAGTCAACAAACGAAAATCAGTCGGGTTTCTATAAACCAACAATAATAATTCTGAAAAGGAAATTAGGGAAAGAATTCCATTTACAATAGCATATAAGAGAATAAAATACCTAGGAGTAAATTTAACCAGGGATGTGAAAGACACAGTAAAATTACAAATCACTGCTGAAAGAGATTAAAGAAGACTTAAATGAATGGAAAGATATGCTGTGTTCGTGGATTGGAAGACAGTATTGTGAAGATGTCGACGCTACCCAAAGTGATCTATAGATTCAGTGCAATCCTGATCAAAATTCCAACAGCTTTCTTTCCAGAAATGAAAAAAAACAATTCTCAACTTTATATGGAAAGGAAAGTGGCCTTGAATAGCTAGAGCAACGTTGAAAGACGAAAACAAATTTAGGAGGACCACAGTTCCTGATTTTAAAACATATTATACAGCTACAGTAATCAAAACAGCCAGGTACTGGTGTAATAATAGACACAGAGACGAATGGAATAGAATTGGGAGTCCAGAAATAAACCCACATATCTATGGTCAACTAATTTTTCACAAGGGCATTAAGTCCATTTATGGAAAGAAGAGTCTCTTCAATAAATGGTGCTGGAAAAATTGGATTTCCACATGCAGAAAACTGAAACAGGATCCATGCCTCACACCAGACATAAAAACAAATTCAAAATAGTATAAGGACCTAAATATGAAAACTAAAACAATAAAATTCTTGGAGGAAAATGCAGGGGCAGTGCTGTCAAGCCCAGGTTTTAACAATGGGTTATCTTATATAATAAAAGCACAATCAGCAAAAGACAAATCAATGGGACCTCATAAATACTAAAAACATTTGTTCATATAAAAGATTTTTTTAAAAAAAAATGGAAAGACAAGTTACTGACTGGGAGAATATCTTTGGAAACCACATAGTAAGAATCTAATAACCAAAATATATATAAAACTTGGACAACTTAACAACAAAAAGACAACCGAGTCATAAAATGGGCAAAGGACTTGAATAGACCGTTCGCTGAAGAGGACAGTCAAACACCAAACACATGAAAAGATGCTCAGCGTCATTAGCCATCAGTGAGATGCAGATCCAAACCACAATGAGATACTATTTCACTTCCACTAGGATGACTAAGCTAAAAAATAAATAAATAACAAGTGTGGCAAGGATGTGGGGAAATTGGAACTCTTATCCATTGCTGGTAGAATGCAAAATGTTACAACCCTTGTGGGAAACAGTATGGCAGTTCCTCAAAACAACTGAAAATAGAACTACCATACCCATTGCTGTGGAGTCAATTCCGACTCAGAGCGACCCTGTGGAACTGTCCCATGGGGTTTCCAAGGCCGTAATCTTTATGGAAGCAGGCTACCACATCTTTCTCCCACGGAACGGTTTTGGGGTTCGAACCACCAACCTTTTGGTTAGCCGCTGAGCACATAACCACTGGGCCACTAGGGCTTCTTAGAACTACCATGTGACCCAGCAATTTCACTCCTAGGTACATACCCGAAAGACTTGAAAGCAGAGACTCAAACAGATCCTCATACACCGACATTCATTGCAGCACTATTCACAATAGCCAAAAGGTGAAAACAACCTACATTCCCATCAACGGATGAATGCATAATCAAAATCTGATACATACATACAATGGCATAGTACTTAGCCATAAAGAGAAATGAAGTCTTGATACACACTACAATATGGAGGGAGCTTGAAGACATGCTGAGTGAAGTAAGTCAATCACAAAAGGACAAATACCGTATGATCTCATTTATCTAAAAACAAAAGAATAGGTAAATGTATAGCTAAAAGCAAAAACCAAACTCACTGCCATCGAGTGGATTCGGACTCATAGTGACCCTACAGGACAGAGTAGAACTGCCTCACAGGGTTTCCAAGGCTGTAAATCTTTATGGAAGCTGACTGCCACATCCTTCTCCCTCAGAGCGACTGGTGGGTTTTAATTACCGAACTTTCAGTTAGCAGCCGAGAGCTTAACCACTGCACCAACAGGGCTCCATAAATGTATGGATACCAATGTTTGTTAGTGATTCCCAGGGGCAAGAAGGAGTGGGAAAGGAGAGGTTATGGCTTATGGAGCACTGGGATTCAGTTTACGATGAGGGAAAACTCACATTGATTTAAGATATGATTGCACAGCTGATTTACCGTGATTGCCGTCAATAAGTTGTACACCTGTAAAAAATTGAATGGCAAAGTTGTGTGATAGATATATTTCCAACAACAACAAAAGAGCCAGCTGCTAAGGCTGCTTATGTACAACCAAACACCTCATTGGATTTTGTTTCTTGGTTTGGAAGTTTAGGGTCATGGTTTCATGGGACATCCCAGTTATATGGCCTAATGTCATGTTTAGTGCCTCTGTTCTACCTCCTAGTTCATTGTGTAATACCTGAGGTCTTAAAAGTTTGCAAGGGGCCATCCAACACACAACAGTTGGTCTCTATGCACCTCGAGCAAGGGAGGAAGAAGGAGAGTCAGGAATAGGAGGAGGTATTGGAATGTGAGGGTAATTGCTTCCAGGAACAACTTCCCCCTTTGCCATGAGACCAGAAGAACTGTATGGTCCCTGGCTACCATTACTGAAAATTTTGATCAAAGAATCAGTAGAAGAATCTTGATCAAAAGGGGGGAAATGCAGAACGGAATGTCAAATTGTCATAGGCTCCAGACTTTCTGGAGCCGTGGGGGCTGGATGAACCCCTGAAACTATTGCCCTGAGATAATCTTTAAACGTTAAACCAAAAATGTCCCCTGAAGTCTTACTAAAACCAAACAATGATGTAACTTAACAAGAAAAGAATGTCTGCCTTGAACATTGTGCTCTTTTAAGATCTCTCTGCAATCAAATTGACAACAGCAACTAGAAAGATTAGTTAGAAACTTAGGGAGCAGTGAATTTATATTAATGGAAGAGGAACAGTTGTGAAAAGAAGGGTGAGAATGATTGAACAACTTGAAGAATCTAATCAATGTCACTGAATTGTACATGTAGAAATTGTTGAATTGGTGTACATTCTGTTGTATATATTCTCCACAAAAACAGCAACAACAAAAAAATAGGTCTTTATGGCAGCTGGAGTTGACCTTGATAATCAACTTTGATAAAATGAATTAATGCCTAGTTTTATCAGCATTTTGATGATTGTCACTGTTGTAGGGGAAAAACATCACAAAGTTTAGTAAAGTAAAAAGAAAGTTTTATTTGGCATATATTCAAAAGGATAAAAGTGGGAAGCAGACAAGCATGCTGCCAGAGCTAGAATGTCTTTCCGAATCCAAAGAACATTACAGAATAGGTAAGAATGGGAAAACGGACAAGCATGCCGCCACAGCCTTGTCTGCCGGAGTCCAGAGAATATCACAGAATAGGCAAGAATGGGAAAATGGACAAGAATGCTGCCACAGTCATGTCTGCCCGAGTCCAAGGAAGGTTACAGAATCATCAGTATATATCAACATCACAAAATGAGTAGAATCATTGAAAGTGTCACTTTTTCACTGACTGGCTAGAAATTGTAATCTTAAATTTTGAATCATCTTTCTTAACAATCATTGGTATGAGTTTCAGTTACAAAAGTCAGGAGGGTCTTCATTGGTCCAACAAATTCCTATTCACTAAACGTTAATAGAACAAGACAAGAGTGGACAGTGTTTTGTGTTCTGTTTGATGGGCTTTTATGTGAAAGTTTCCCTAAAAGATATTTTCCAAGATTATCTTAGCTATTGTCTTTATACCTCAGGACCCAGTTGAT